CCCACATGCGATTGCTATTAAAAAGGTCGATCCCATTAAAATCACGATCCAATTAAAACACTAACCGTCCATGCAATTAATCCTACGGATAACAGCCGCGCGATCGCGATCTGACGGCTTTCGGGGCGTTCGGATCTGTTGCTAAATTCCTGCCGACAGGAAATTAGCTTTTCCCTTCTCTAATCTAATACTCCCTCTGCAGTCCGCACTCTCTGCTTATCTTGGGAGATCTCCAGTGGCGTAGCTGTAGGGTGGCCAGGGTGGTCCATGGACCACCCTGGAATTTGGCCCATTAGTTTAGTACTTCTCTGGAAAAAAAAAAAACATACCCAGGCCCAAATCAGGTCTTAGCCCATGTACGCGTGTATGTACGTTGATCGTTCCCAACACCCCGTCATCTCCTTTTCCTCTGGTGATCTGGGCTCTAGAAGTCTAAAAGACTGAAACCTAGGTTCGATCCTTGGGTGACACACTTAATTTTTGTTCTTTCTTTTCACAGCGCTCGCAGTAAAAAGAGCACAACTTGCATATGGAAACTTCACCGTACGAAGGAAAGAAATATGGTCAACCCCCTATTCATCACCATTAATAAAAGCGGTAACCCCACAAAAATCATGGTCCAATTAATGACGAAAGGAAAGAAATCGGGTCGATGCCCATGTTCCCACATGCGATTGCTATTAAAAAGGTCGATCCCATTAAAATCACGATCCAATTAAGACACTAACCGTCCATGCAATTAATCCTACGGATAACAGCCGCGCGATCGCGATCTGACGGCTTTCGGGGCGTTCGGATCTGTTGCTAAATTCCTGCCGACAGGAAATTAGCTTTTCCCTTCTCTAATCTAATACTCCCTCTGCAGTCCGCACTCTCTGCTTATCTTGGGAGATCTCCAGTGGCGTAGCTGTAGGGTGGCCAAGGTGGTCCATGGACCACCCTGGAATTTGGCCCATTAGTTTAGTACTTCTCTGGAAAAAAAGGAAACATACCCAGACCCAAATCAGGTCTTAGCCCATGTACGCGCGTATGTACGTTGATCGTTCCCCACACCCCGTCGTCTCCTTTTCCTCTGATTATCTGGGCTCTAGAAGTCTGAAAGACTGAAACCTAGGTTCGATCCTTGGGTGACACACTTAATTTTTGTTCTTTCTTTTCACAGCGCTCGCAGTAAAAAGAGCACAACTTGCATATGGAAACTTCACCGTACGAAGGAAAGAAATATGGTCAACCCCCTATTCATCACCATTAATAAATGCGGTAACCCCACAAAAATCATGGTCCAATTAATGACGAAAGGAAAGAAATCAGGTCGATGCCCATGTTCCCACATGCGATTGATATTAAAAAGGTCGATCCCATTAAAATCACGATCCAATTAAAACACTAACCGTCCATGCAATTAATCCTACGGATAACAGCCGCGCGATCGCGATCTGACGGCTTTCGGGGCGTTCGGATCTGTTGCTAAATTCCCGCCGACAGGAAATCAGCTTTTCCCTTCTCTAATCTAATACTCCCTCTGCAGTCCGCACTCTCTGCTTATCTTGGGAGATCTCCAGTGGCGTAGTTGTAGGGTGGCCAGGGTGGTCCATGGACCACCCTGGAATTTGGCCCATTAGTTTAGTACTTCTCTGAAAAAAAAGGAAACATACCCAGTCCCAAATCAGGTCTTAGCCCATGTACGCGTGTATGTACGTTGATCGTTCCCAACACCCCGTCGTCTCCTTTTCCTCTGGTGATCTGGGCTCTAGAAGTCTGAAAGACTGAAACCTAGGTTCGATCCTTGGGTGACACACTTAATTTTTGTTCTTTCTTTTCACAGCGCTCGCAGTAAAAAGAGCACAACTTGCATATGGAAACTTCACCATACGAAGGAAAGAAATATGGTCAACCCCCTATTCATCACCATTAATAAAAGCGGTAACCCCACAAAAATCATGGTCCAATTAATGACGAAAGGAAAGAAATCAGGTCGATGCCCATGTTCCCACATGTGATTGCTATTAAAAAGGTCGATCCCATTAAAATCACGATCCAATTAAAACACTAACCGTCCATGCAATTAATCCTACGGATAACAGCCGCGCGATCGCGATCTGACGGCTTTCGGGGCGTTCGGATCTGTTGCTAAATTCCTGCCGACAGGAAATTAGCTTTTCCCTTCTCTAATCTAATACTCCCTCTGCAGTCCGCACTCTCTGCTTATCTTGGGAGATCTCCAGTGGCGTAGCTGTAGGGTGGCCAGGGTGGTCCACAGGGTGGTCCATGGACCACCCTGAAATTTGGCCCATTAGTTTAGTACTTCTCTGAAAAAAAAAGGAAACATACCTAGACCCAAATCAGGTCTTAGCCCATGTACGCGCGTATGTACGTTGATCGTTCCCCACACCCCGTCGTCTCCTTTTCCTCTGGTTATCTGGGCTCTAGAAGTCTGAAAGACTGAAACCTAGGTTCGATCCTTGGGTGACACACTTAATTTTTGTTCTTTCTTTTCACAGCGCTCGCAGTAAAAAGAGCACAACTTGCATATGGAAACTTCACCGTACGAAGGAAAGAAATATGGTCAACCCCCTATTCATCACAATTAATAAAAGCGGTAACCCCACAAAAATCATGGTCCAATTAATGACGAAAGGAAAGAAATCGGGTCGATGCCCATGTTCCCACATGCGATTGCTATTAAAAAGGTCGATCCCATTAAAATCACGATCCAATTAAAACACTAACCGTCCATGCAATTAATCCTATGGATAACAGCCGCGCGATCGCGATCTGACGGCTTTCGGGGCGTTCGGATCTGTTGCTAAATTCCTGCCGACAGGAAATTAGCTTTTCCCTTCTCTAATCTAATACTCCCTCTGCAGTCCGCACTCTCTGCTTATCTTGGGAGATCTCCAGTGGCGTAGCTGTAGGGTGGCCAAGGTGGTCCATGGACCACCCTGGAATTTGGCCCATTAGTTTAGTACTTCTCTGGAAAAAAAAGGAAACATACCCAGGCCCAAATCAGGTCTTAGCCCATGTACGCGTGTATGTACGTTGATCGTTCCCAACACCCCGTCGTCTCCTTTTCCTCTGGTGATCTGGGCTCTAGAAGTCTGAAAGACTGAAACCTAGCGCCATCGCCCAGCGCAAGGCCGGCACTCCGGCAGGGCACAGGCTGACGGCGACGGACAGGCGGCCAGCGAAGGACGCGCGTCCCAGCGGCCGATGAAGGAAGCGCGCACGCACACATAGGTACAGCCCCGTGCAGTACGCACTAGTTGTTTTCTTTTCTACTTCAATTCAGAGTAAGATTTTTGTTCTGCTCTAATTCAAAGCACAATTTCCTTTTGCTATGAAGATTCGAACGATTTGTTGAGAGTGCAAGCTTTAAAGTTTTTTGTAATTGATAATTTGTCAATTGAACCGATTGAATCATTAGTGCTTTGTTCCAACTGAGTTAATGTATTAACTTTTTTGTACAACCGTTGCAAAAATGAAGAGGACAGGAGACATTGCATCCCTTTTTTTTTATATGGATCCGACAAATAAGGTGGTTTATATTTTAAGCGAATGTAAGGCTTGAACATGAATTTTAATATGCTTTGATAGACCTTATTGATATGTGCTTTGGATATATTCTTCGTGTATATGTTAGATTTGATAAATTTGTGGTGTAATTTTTCTGGTGCCAATTGAACCACCCTAACATAAAATCCTAGCTACGCCACTGGAGATCTCCCAAACCAAGCAAAGCAAAGGAAGCAGATGGAAGATACGCACGCACCAGCCTCGAACGGCGGAGCGCATTGAAACCCAGCCATGCCGATCGATCGATCGATCAACGCGTAGCCGGCAGCTATCGCGGTCCGATGGATGGATGGATCGCTGCGCCTAAAAGAATCGCTATCTTAGGCCCCGTTTGGAATGTTGTTTTTCTGCCACTCCTGTAACATTTTACACCTGTATTATACTAGTCTCAAACCAAATACATGCCACAGGGTTGTATTTCCATTCCGCTTCTAGCCTCCGCTTGGAATGTTGTTTTTCTGCCACCCCTGTAAGTTGGCTCCAGTTTCAATTCGGTTGTAAAATATACATGGCGCCCAAGTTGTAGCACTATATATATGTTCAAATATGCATGGCACCCAAATGTATAACTTTTCAACAGCACAGACTTTCTAATACACACGTACAGAATTTTCAATAGCACAGACTGCACTTCCACACAAATTGCACATGTATAAAATGAGCTAAATTTTTTATTTATATAACAGTACAACCACATCAAAAAATGGATAATATTTTTGCAATCATCCATTTGAACATAGTTCCGATAACTCATAGTGCTCAAAGTCAGTAGTTTAAATTACAAATTTATCGAGGCATACTTGTCTCGTCTCGTCCGCATGCTACATAACCAAATTTATTGAGGCAATTGTTCAACCATTGTGCGCTTAGACATAAAGTATTTCAGGAATATTATTGATTGCTTCATGGACTCGGGTAATCATAGAATCATGTGAAAGGACATCCTGAAAAGAAAAAAATTGAAAAACATTAGCTATGTAAGAACACTTTGTGCTCTATGAAGGATACCAGCCACACATGTCAAGAACAACCATGTATGTCAAAAAGATTAGCACAAAATCCTGAATTACCAAGGGGAGCCAGATGGTACAAGGTAGCCATAGCATGTCACTAAATTTAAAGAAACCATATTATTTTTCAAAAAACACCGATATGAAGAAACAACATGGCAGCAATATAAACAACATCTTAAGTAAGAAAAGATGTTCTAGACAGCAGCAGGTCTATATGATTTTGAATGCAAAAATGATAACTCCAAGAATTGCAAGTTCCCAAAACAGGTCTATTGTGGATAATAACAAACATGTCCAGAATATTATGTTACTCCCTCCCACTAGCGGAGCCTCGTTGAGGCCAAAGGGACTCCAGGAGCAAGCAAGGTATGCTTCACCTAATGGAAATAAAAGGAGCACAAACAATACCTTTGATCAGAGAACCAGATTGATTGAAGGAATATCGCCAGATGAAAACCGAGCTGCAAAGGAATACTCGCTCAACTAAGCCTTACAAACTTATCTTTAGTGGGGAGAAGAAATGCAGAAAACCAACATAATGGTACTTACAAGGAGGAGGCTGAGGACTAATCTTGTCGACTTCCTTCTTTAGCCACATACCCCGCAATCTTGAGTTGTAACCCAGGAAAATCTCACGATTTGCTGCATCCTTGAAAACATCAGAGGCAAAGATTTTGACCTCGTCGGGAACATCATCCATGTCATTCAAGACCTGCAAGCATTCTGTAATTGAGGGTTGTTTTCCTTGCTGTGACACTTTTTCCTTCTTGGAAGCTTGATCTTTCTTGAAATTCACATAAGCCATCATGGAATCTTCAAGCCGCTGTACAGATGTGGCACCTTTTTGTTTCTTAGTTTTTTTCCCTTTTGCACTTGATTCACTTATTTGTGGTTGATCGCCATCAGCATCTTCACTGCCTAATTCTTCCTCGTCATTGACAGTGTTCTCTCTTTCATCCACATCATCTAATGTAGGAGTATCATTGATGTCAATTATTGAAGAAGTCCTTACGTTGTCATCTCTTCCATGTCTTGTATTTTTCTTGCTAGTGCTTGCAACCATCTTATCCTTCGCTCCAAAGTTGCTACCTGTTTTTGTGCCAATCGGAGGCTTCCTTGATGTGAGGCAGTGTCTTCCTTGCGCAATGTGTCCTTCATAGAGCACACCCAATGCCTCGTACAATGGAAAGCTCTTTCCTTCATACATTTTGAGCTTTGGGTCCTCCTACATAATTAATAGAAAGGTGTGAGCAGATCATGCATAGGCATGAAAAGTTCATGCACATATAAGGAAATCAAAAGTTAGAAGGAATAAAAACTTACTGCAATGATCTCTTCCCATTTTTCAGGCGTGGTGTTGATCACACATGCAATATCATTCCATGATATTCCAGAGCGGTTGACTATCAACTTGATATTTTTGTAGTGCTTTTTCAACTGAGCTTCCTTATCTTGAACCTGATCCTTGGTAAACCTTGCCTCTGGATATAAATTGTTCAGTTCCTTGACAACTTGATTCCATCCTTCGGTAGTCCACCCATTTTGACCACGGTAATGAGATAGATTGTACTCTGTAAGTACCTCCACGAGACCTTTCTCATACCTTGCTGTCCACTTAGCCCTATTTTGCGTCATATTGAACCTATGACAATGTAACTTTAGCAATAAATCAATACAAGAATCTGATCACATTAAGCAACATAAGAATATGAAAATCCAACATCACATTAAGAAATATAAGAATCTGAAAATGCAAAATCACATCAAGTAATATGAAATGAAACATTAACATAACTCAAATGTTGCTAATATATAGGATCGATCCTAATAACATAACTCAAATGTCATCCTTACATAACTCAAATGAAACATTAACATAACTCAAATGTCATCTTTATATCTCAAATTCCACATCATTACAATAAATTACTTTGACAGAATAAAAACTTAAATTATTAGCTAGTAGATCTCCGTGACGATCTTTCACTTCGAATTCTTTGATAGTCCGCCCACATCCTGTTGGCAATTTCATCTCTCATAGAATTACCAAGGTCCCTTTGATTGCTTGAGGATGTAGGAACATGTCGAGGTCTGTCATCTCCATCAGGAAGAGTGACAAATAGAAGAGGGTCAATTTGCATTTGTTGCGTATCTAGCCATTGTTCATCACCTCTGTGACTCCGGATTATATTGTGAAATACAGCTGCCGCCATAGGAATTTTGACTTGAGTGTCAATTGGGTAATGTGTGCCAACTTTTAAAATAGGAAATCGCATTTTCCATACACCAATTGTACGCTCTATATGGTTCCGTAGACGGGCATGCCTTAGATTGAAGAGTTCTTTGGGGTTCTTTGGACGAGGGCCACCTCTACCGAAATCTTTTAGATGGTAACGAACTCCACGGTACGGAGCTAGAAACTGTGGTGTGTTTGCATAGCCTCCGTCAACCAAATAATACTTGCCCGGAGGTACATGGAAGCCTGATTGAATAGCAGATTTCAATACTCCAGCATCTGAGGCAGACCCCTCCCAACCAGCTGACACATAAACAAAGTTGAGATCGAAGTCGCAGGCGACCATCACATTTTGGGAGATGGTCCCCTTTCTATTCCTGTATGGAGCAGCCTCGTTGGATGTAATGGTCATGGGAACATGAGTCCCATCTATTGCCCCTAGGCAGTTCTGCATTAAACAAGCTATGGTTACTATATGTGTTATACTAAGGGAGGATATAAATTCCTAAAGTACATAGCAAGGGATGGCGTGTACCTCAAAGAAAGGCCAAAACTGGGGATTTGTTGATATTTTCCAATGAGTATCTAGCGAACTATGCTTGATAAGGTCAAATGCCAATGATCTCATAGCGTTGAAGCATCCATTGATATGCCTATGCACCGTTTCAGGACTGTGCTGAAACCTATCAGTCAACGTACGATAACTCGCATTCCTGGATAGCATGTACATAAACATCCCTAGTTGCTCTTCAACACTGACTCCTTTTGAATTTTTTAGAAGATTTTTGGATCTAAGATGGTCACATAGAAGTTGGAAGATATGGGATTCCATCCTAAGAATATCAAGGCACCGTTGAGGGTGGCCATCCAATATTTCTCGGATATACTTAGCTCCCGTAAGAATGGATGTGTTCACTGGAATCTTTTCCCTCCTAGAAGATATACAATATATTGTCGGGAAGACAAGAAACATCATCTCCTCCTCCTCCTCCTCCTCCTCAGAATCAGTACATGACTCATATCCATCATCATGGTTACTCGTATCCATTATCTAGCGAGAAGAGATTACAAAATAAATACCCGCAACTCTCCTTCAAAGTAAACACAGTAGTATATATAATCTATGTTATGACATTGGAATAAAAGGAGCACTAGCACATCAAGATAACGAGATTAGTGTAACATGAAAAGATATTACCATACTTTTATTGATTGATGTAACAGTTGAGTATAGATGTATATAGACAAGCACATGCGCAAAACAATGAAGAATAAATCAGTGACACACACACAAGCTGGACTGAATGCTTTTGAGTTTATTAAGTACCTTCAGTTCTGAGCTTTAAATGTCAAAAGAGCTTCACAGAATCTTGAATCCTCCAAATCACTCTTAACAGTTCTGCATTGCACAAAGGCAGCAATGAGCCAATGATATCAGTAGCAATAATAGGTGCTGCAGTTATATAACTTATCAAACAGGCCCAACTTAGTTAGCATTCTATTTGCACAACTGGACAAAGAAAACAGATGAACTATTCATAAACCCATGGAAGTTTATTGGACCCTGTTCATAAACAAATCATTGGACCATTGTTCATCTGTTTGTTTATCATTATTTCTAGGTTTACATCAATCTGAACTTCGACAGCAGCTAACGAACTGAATTCTTGTGGGATTCCATCCTAAGAATATCAAGGCACCATTGAGGGTGGCCATCCAATATTTCTCGGATATACTTAGCTCCCGTAAGAATTGATGTGTTGTATGGAATCTTTTCTCTCCTAGAAGATATACAATATAATGTCGGAAAGACAAGAAACATCATCTCCTCCTCCTCCGAATCAGTACGTGATAACCATCAGCATGATTACTTGTATCCATTATCTAGCGAGAAGAGAATAAAATAAATAAGCAAAAAAACTTTGTCTATCTATATAGCATACACATCAGGGCATGGATTGTTAGCAAGCTTCTGTTGTTATTCCATGCATCAGTCATGTTATTTAAACGAAGCAGGCCCATAGTATATGAACAACGACAAACTAGCTTAACATGACCAAACGCATTATCTATTGCAAGGAACTTTGGGCACTATCTTCAACCGATCAAAAACATCTTGGACAGACAAAAGCAACTCATTGGATCACTGTTCATCTGTTTGTTTATCAGTATTTCTAGATTTACATCAAACTGAACTTTGACAGCAGCTAACTACCAGATCATTTGGCTTATTCCCCGATCAATCTGAACTTTGACAGCAGCTTAAACTGCACTGTAACAACTAAATGAAGCTTGGCTTATTTCCCTGATCAAACTGAACTTTAACTGACGGAACTAACTACCCTACGCCTGACGAAACTGAATTCTTGTGAAACTTTGGCAGCAGCTGTTAACTGATAGGAGGGTTCGGTCTAATCATCACCAAGCAGGATGGCCACGTCGCCAAGGAGTACTCCGCCGCCGGATGACTGGGGAAGGGATAGGAAGGGGGCAGAGGAGGAGGGAGGATACCTTGGCGGAGCGGAGGAGGATGAGCGGTTCGCCGTCACGGTCAGGTCACGACTGCCGGCCAGCGTCGCCGTCGCGGCCAGGAGCGAGTCGCCGTCACCGTCGTGGCCAGGAACGAGTCGCCGTCACCGTCGTGGCCAGGAACGAGTCGCCGTCGTCGGCGCGTCTAAACCCCGTCGTGGCCACCGTCTTCTGCGCCTCACCACGTCGCCGTCGCGAACGCCGTCGCTTGACCTCCTCGTGGACACCAGCGCCGGCGCCTCCCGGCGGCGCAACTCGATCTAGATCTCGAGCGAGAGGCGAGGTGGGGGAAAAACGACGGCCTCTGGTCTGTATCGGATACCGGCCCGATACGGGTGTAAACGAGAAAACCAGTGTAAAACTTACAGCCCAAAAACGACATGCCAAGCACCAACGACAGGCCCATCCGTTTTTATTTTACAGGGGTATATTTTACAGGTGTATTGGGCCCTAAAACGAGGAACCAGGCGGGGCCTTAACGATCACGACGGATCGACGGACCCATCTTATCTCTGCTCTCTGAAACAGAAACGGAAACGGAGGAGAAGATGCTCTCTTCGTTTGACCGTCTCGACGTTGGGTCTTTTCATCTTCTTCTTCTATCCACGGTAAGGCGAAAAATGCGCAATGGTAGGAGCTGAGCGGTAGCTCTCATCCTTGAATCCCTGCCCGCACATCTGCGCGCCATAATAAACTACTTTGGCCGCATGCGGTGTGGTGCGCGATGCGTATTTTGACAACAAGCACGCGGCCGCAGAGCAGGACCGCCCGTACGTACTGCATGTCCCCGTTTTCTTTTTCTACCAAGTCTTTCTTCCAAACCAGCCACGGTTGATATGCCCCATAGATCGCCACACAAGTTGGCCACCACGGCCTGAAATTCGCCATGGTTTATCCTGGAAAAACTACTGATACGACCGACCGCGGCGACGTACGTAGGTACGTACGTGCGCTGCTAGCCTGGTCAATACAGCGGTGGAATGGAACATTGTGCACAGCGGGACCGGGACGGCAGCGGTGGACCGGACCGCCGGCCCCACCGGTTGAATCTCGTACGGCCGATACGAGAAAAGATTGCGGGGTCGGCTTTTCTTTTCTCTTCTCACCATCCTTGGCGCAATACAGTGTACCAGTACCATAGACCATGCTATGGTGCGCATGCACATGTGACAAGAAGAAGAAGGCGACTTGTCGTCGGGTTCCGGCGTATCCTCAGCTGGATTCGGCTGTTGGACGGGCGTGCGTAGCCTAACCTAGCCTAGCTCAAGTCCAGCTAGGTATTGGACTTGGGCGTTCACGGCTAACGTATATAAGAATTTAAATAAAAAAACGTATATAAGAATTATTAAGAGGTAATATAACCACGAGTCACATAACTTGCGCCACATGTTCAGTTTGATGCTAAAACTTTAAAAATATGGTTTTGTTGTCACTTAACTTAACTCAAGGATGTAGGTATGGTCATAATATATGTACTCCCTCCGTCCGAAAATACTTGTCATTAAAATGGATAAGAAGGGATGTATCTAGAACTAAAATACGTCTAGATACATCTCCTTTTATTCATTTTGATGACAAGTGTTTCCGGACGGAGGGAGTACGACGTTTTTTTTATGAATTCCGGAGGTAACATATTCAAAATATCAGTGTCTTTCTTTTTGCGAGGAAAATTAGTAATGTCTTACAAAACAAAACAAAAAAACAAATAAGGTCATGGGGAGGGATTTTGCATCGCCGTGAGCTCCGCTCGATGCTATATATACTTGCTATGTATTGCTTGAGGCATGGTTTTGTTGTGACTACGAAACAGGCTTATCGGACCCGAACGATGACATTTCAAATGGCGTACCATTCGCTCATCTGCAGGCGATGACGAATGTTGAGCAAAACGACACTAGGAAGTGAGGCCCTGACATCTTATTGAAGATTGGCGGCTACCACAAATCGAGTAGGAAGCACTCGTGCTTCGACCACGCGAAGATCCATGGCCTCCTCGCCTCTCGGGACCAAAAGAAGTCGCTACAGGTGAGGGAGAGCTATTGAAATGCGTGTTGGAGACGCTTAGCACGGAGTCCCCTTGAGAGTCCCTAGCGGCTTCTAGGGTTTCTTAGGTAGCTCATTCGCTTAACTGACGATGATACCCACCGTTTATTGTCCAAGCATAATTGTCTCTCCTATGTAGTTTTTTGTTTTGTTTTGCGGAGAGCCTCTCCTACGTAGTTGTAAATGCCAAAGAGTGTTGTCACGTCGTTTGCAGTCACATGACTTGTTTGGAATGCAGGATAAGATAATTACAAGAACACAAATTACAAGTAATATCTTGTAGATTCCTATAGGGATAAAAAAAGCGCTAACATTTACCAACATAGTTGCTCAGATGACGCACATAATTTTTTCAAGTTGTTTATGTATGAGGGAGAAGAGTAGAGATAAATATGCATATAATATTGGACTCTTAGCTCGAAGGGAGCAAAAGCGCAAGGCTTGGCCAAAATGTTCAGAATCCTTTAAGAAAAAAAGAGGAAAAATATTGTGCAGGATATCATTTTTAGGAATTTTCTGGAAATGTCCTAGTAGTTCTAATTGGCGCGGTTAGATCTTACGGTGTCAAAAACGATGTTATATTGCGAACCAATCCGCGGGTGGATGGTTAGAGGGATTGTGATATCCCCAGCCCACCAGGGTTTAAATCCTTGTGCTCGTATTTATTCCTGGATTTATTTTAGGATTTTCGGCGATGCACATTCAGCGGAAGGAGGCGTTCCCGTCGACGACGAGGCGCCTACAGTGACTTTGTAAATCTCAAGATGATATGCCGGCTCAGTCTTTCGAAGGTGCTCATAGGGTAGGGTGTGCGTGTGTGTGTTTATAGGATGAGTGTTTGCGCGTGCATATGAGTGCTTGTGTCTGTACTGATGTTTAAAAAAAAGATGCATATAACATTAGACTCTTAGTTCGAAGGGAGCGAAAACGCAAGGCTTGGCTAAAATGTTCGGAATCCTTTAAAAAAAAGGAAAAACATTATGTAGGATTTCATTTGTACGAATTTTCTGGAAAAGTGCATGTAGTTCAAATTGGCACGTTTCGATTTTACAGTTTTAAAAATGCTCTTGTATTGTTGGACGGAGGGAGTAAAAGAAAGAGAAATCGATGGAGAGATAATCACTTTCCACCGGCAGCTTAGGAACAGGACAGCGAAGCCGTACGTGCCCCGTCCCGTTCCGTGCGCCCTCGTGGACGGGGCCCACCAGAATCCGAAGGAGGGATACGCTGACGTCACACCCGGCCGAGATCTCTCTGTCTCCGACGAGCCGTAGAGATTTCTTCCGGTTGGAGGCCACGGAAGGAAAGGAAAAGGGCCGGCGTGGGAAAGCACGAGCTCCACGGTCGTGTACACCAGCCCAACCAGTAAATAAAAATGAAGTATATTTTGTCTCTCTCATTCACTGTGACTCTGCGTCTGGGGCCGGGGAAACCAGCTGAGCACAGGGGCAACGGGGTGGTAAAAAAGAGGCGAGC